CTGGAGTTATGGACAGTTGTTAGCTGCCATGTGGTGCTGGGATTCGAACTTGGGTCTTCTGCAAGAACAGCTGGTGTTCTTAACTGCTGAGCCATCTCTCCAGCCTCATGCTAATAGTACTTTGATAGATCATTTCTCCAGCTGTGAAGGCTCCTGCCTTTTCAACACTCTGTCATATTAAGGATGCAGGATTCACTCAGATGATTTCTTGAGGTGAACACATACAGATGAAAGCATTCTTTGGTCTCCTATCTAATAATATTAAAACAATAATTTAAGCTGGGTATGGTGGCACAGGGCCTTTAATTCCAGCAGAGGGAGGTGGAGGGAGGTGAATCTCTCTGAGTTCAAGGCCTGCCTGGTCTACATAGAGAGTTCCAGGTCAGCTGGGGCTGCAGGGAGACCCTCTCTCAAAAAGACAAACAAAAACATAACCCCCCAAACGACAATAATTTAAAGTATATCAAAGGGGTTTGACAGTGAGTTATAAAATTAGCCTATATATTTTATGTACCTTCATACCCACAAAATCCCAAGATCTCCATATTTACAACATCCTCAAACCCAACACTCTGGCCCCTCTGTGTGATGTGTAGGAGTTCTCATCCATTCCCAAGCTTCACTCTGGGTTTTCAGGGCATATGCTGCCTGAATCTCGCATCTCTGACTCGCCTTCTTCTCCCTCTTTTCTCATCCATCTCCCCTGCAGCTCAGGGTCAACGTCCACACTGCTGCCCACTTCCCATGAGCTCTTCATGCTTCCCATGATGGCGTTTCTGAGCATCTCCCATCATGCCTGTCTCTCCTCCAGAGTCCAGGAAAAAACCATCTGCTCGCATAGAAAAGCCTGTTCCCAGGAATTTCTACACCAGAGCTTCTCAGTTCTTAATTTAGTTCTTTCTTTTCCAGTTTCTAATCCCAGGGAACACAGCACCCTGAGCGTGGAGGCCTTCCTGGACAGTACCCACTGTTTCCGTCAGCCTCGGTCACATGGCTGGCTTCCCACCACTCAGGGTGATTGAGGGCAACGTTTACTTTGGTCACCTTTTTGGGGGGGTCTTTTTTTTTAATTTTTAAAAATGATTTATTTAATAACAACATACTTAGAAGAAGCATACCATTACAACACAGTTGACATATTCAATAACGGTTTCCTGAGGTAGGCTGCATCTCTTTCAAATTTGGCTGTAAATTTTTAGGTTTACAGTTGAATTATTACAGTTATACAATATTGTACTCATTATAAACCCTATAAGACATAAAATTAAATGAGGTTTTAACCTTTAAAAAAGATCTCCATTTCATTATTAAAATACACAGTTTCATATAGAAA